TAAAGAATATTTTCTGATTTTTATGCGTATATTTTTAAAGACAATTTATTAGCTAGGATTGACCTGTAGAACAATTAATATAGAGTGGTAAAATCTTCCCGACAAATGTTTATTACGAATGTTCGATTTTTGAGTATATCTTCCACATAAAGAACCATTGGTATTTTGTTGATCCTTAGAACCAACAGAACTATTTATTAGCTCTACGAAGAGGATGTAATTTGGAATTCAGAGTTTTTTCTTCGCAAAAAACATGTTCATTATAAGTCCATGTTTCTACATAGACCCATACAAAGGTTTTTTAACTTTGTATCTGCAGTTTGGTATTTTGTTTTCTTGTGACAGCAATTTACCACATGACATAGTCCCTGTAGAATTGTTTGATTTGGGATTTTTGAATGTCTAATTATTATCTTAATGTATTTTTCTTTTCCTAGGCCAATAATTGGTCCTGCATTGACAATAATCGGCAAAGACACAAAATTTTATTTGACAAAACATATCATACCAATATGTTCAAGTGTCCACAATTTTCGATAAAAATCTTAGAGTATATTTTCAACATAAAATCTTTTTTCTGAACTTTATGGAGAAAATCTTGACCAATAGGTATGCCTATTGCAATTTTCAAAGCCCCATATTAGAATATAAATATTTTCCAGAAAACCGCGTGCTAGATCGTGTGTAACAAACCGTGAAAAAAACTGTCATACGAAATATATATTCCCCATGCTCAGTATTCCATTTAAATTCCACAAAAATAGCAAGTGTCACATAACTAAAGCAATCCTTTAACACAGCCTCTCAAACCACCTCAACATGAGCCTTAATAGTACTACAGCACTACATACATGTGTGTACTGTTTTCTCAGGCACAACACACACACCCTCGCATACACACACCCAACCATTTGACAAATTGCCTACGAAACGTTTTTGTCATTACTTTAGTACTTGATGTCACTTCCATTACCACGCACATAAAACCCCTTGGCCCCATGCATATAACGACGAACCAAAAAACAGAAAGGCGAACACAAGAAGAAAAAAAAAAGAAAAATACAGCAACAACCTCACACCAAACTTCGATGCCTGAAAAATGACTGAGTACGTATGAGTGTGTGTGTGTTTCTGTGGGTGTACGATATATATGGCAAAAAGGACGCAGGACCATATTTGCATATTTTATCCCTTTTTCCCTTCATCGACTAGAAGATGAGAAGTTATTGAGTCGATATTTTAAAGGAAATTGTAAAATTGTTATGGAAGAAGATTTTTACTAAAAGCTGGGGTTTCCTTTATGGCCTATGTTATTCCTTTTTTTGTCTTTTCTTTTTTGTCATTGAGGGTCTCCCAAAAAAGGACAAAAATGGATTGCTATTTTTTGCTTCATTTTACCGGTAAAAAGGAAATATAAATTTTACTCCTTTATATCATTTCAGTATTTTTTCTTTCTTTTTTCGTAAACGAATATTTAGGCTTACAATGTATTTTGTAAGAAATTTATATGGTGATTTAAGGTTGACATTTCACATTAATGTGATTTATCGATTAATTGTCAGGTAAGATTTTAGGTTCGATTAATTTTCTTTGATGGAAGTAAAAAGATGGGTAACGGGGGCGGAAACGGCAGAAAATGTTTAGTAAAACAAAATCACGTAACTGGTGATTAATAGGAGGGCGAAAAAGTTTTTAAATTAATTAGTAGAAGAAAACATTTCTGTTAGTAATATGAGCTGGAGAAGGAGATGAGGGTTTAATTATGTTAGAAATTAGCTGTTGAAGGATTTAGATAAGTGGAACAAGTAAGAAACGTTGACCGGGAAGATATTTTTGATACACTTCACCATTTGAGAACTTTTCCATGTTTTTTTGTCCTAGTATTTTTAACAAAGATAACCCAGTTTGAAAAACTTCCTGAAACTTCTATGTACTGAAAATTAGGCGAATCATGAAATTGGATAGCTATTTAATAACATGGACATGTACTGAAAACCATGGACCTACCGGGAAAACGTGGTAATATATCAAAGAATATTGACATAAACTTTCAAAGTACCGAAATTGAGGAGAGGATCTTTATATGGAGCTATGTCAACACATAGGCATATTTTTAGAAATATTCTTCAGCCTCTATGAACCTGGCTATATCTTCAGGATTCTTAAAATTTTATAGAAACATTCTTGAATAAATGTAAATTCGAATTAAAATTTAATATTTAAACCTAAAACCAAATGGTGGACCATCACTTAAGTGGAAAATGCGGCATGGAAAACTATTTACAGCAAAATCGATACAGGCTATTCGGTACGCTGCGCTGTTAAAAATATAATTTTAATCAGACACCCGTCCGAAATGCATATGGAAGCTATGGCTGTATCTGTACCAATTTCAACAAAACGCAATAACGTCGGTCAAGTCTCAATTTGATACGTTGTTCACAATTTCTTGTTAATTGGACAAACATTAGGAGTTTGTGCACCATTTGGGTAAAACGGACGAATATATGTATATGTGGGAGCTATATCGAAAATTGAACCGATTTTTCCGAAACTTACCACACATCATTCAAGACTCAATTTAGTATATAATATAAAGGGACTTTGGTGTACTATATACATAAAATCAGACGAAAATATATATGGGAGCTATATCTAAGTCTGAACCGATTTTCACGAGATTTAACTCGTATCGTTCCACACTAATTTCAGTACGCTATGCTAAATTTTGTGCAAATGGAAGGATGTGAAAGGACTTTGGTGCACCATTTACATAAAATCGGACGGAAATATATATGGGAGCTATATCAAAATCTGAACCGATTTTCCCGAAACTTACTACTCATAATTCTAGACTCAGTTCATTTCGCTATGCCAAATTTCGGGCAAATCGAAGGATACAAAGTGGCTTTAGTGCACTGTTTACCTGAAATCGGACGAAAATATATATGGGAGCGATATATAAGTCTGAACCGATTTTCACGAGATTTAACACGCATCGTTCCAGACTCAATTCAGTACGCTATGCTAAATTTCGTGCAAATCGAAGGATATATAAGGACTTTCGTGCACAATTTACATAAAATCGGAAAATATGTAAATCTGAACCGATTTTTCCCAATTGCAATAGGCTTCGTCCTTGGGCCAAATAAATGAACTGTGCCAAATTTCATCCAATTCAAATCAAAAATTCGACCTGTACTGGGTTTACAATTTAACATGCATTTTATGAATGCAATTCATAAAACTTTATTTTTGGAGAGAGATAGAGTAAAAAAGAAGTATGGAGTTGTGTGTGGTTTTGGTGACGGATCGGTCGCCATACCACAGAAGAAGTAGTTGCAAAGAATTAAATCACAAGATTTCGTTGGCCAATTTCGTGATTTCAAAGTTCTGCATTTTAGGAACGCAATTCATAAAATATAAGTACTGTTTTCTTGTCGGAGAAAGATTGGCAATGTAAAGGGGGTTCCGACACGAGGTGGACTGTGAACGTAGGCCACACGAGAAGAAGTTGCAACGAATTAAATCATAAGTGTTCGTTGGCCAACTGTTATCACTAATTCGTGAACCCGGAAACTCTTAGTGTAAAATATCAATGGGTTCGTGGCATATGTGGGACGGAGCCCTGTATTGTTGAAAGTAAACATTGTCAATATAAAATCTGTTGGGATCCGATCACAAACATTAATTAAAAATATATAGATAGGGCAAGCCATCCAACATTAAACTGTTCATTCAACATTATTTTCGAAAATGTAAGATCCAATGACCCCGTTGGGTTATAAACCACAGTCATACGTTGAGGATGGGGCGGCTCCTTATCAATAGCTCTTGGAAAGTCTTTCATTTTTTTTTAAATTTGTCAGATTTTAATTATGTTTTTGTTATTAATATGTAATACCTTCATTGTAAAATTTGTTAATTCAATACTTCAATAGTTCTTATAGTGGAAATTGAATATTGCATTTCTTTTACCTACTACCTTGGAAATTCGGAATCTGTATGGATCGATATATTCTTTAATATGTCGATAATTGTTCTGATTTAGAATATATTTATCAAATTGCACCAATATTCTAAGATATACTACCAGCAACTTAAAAATTTGAATTTATTAAAATATTGCCCTATGATAACCAATAATGAACATTTTCATAGCTCAAGAAATACTGGACGAATTGGCACATGCTGGAAATTTACCACATGGAATTTAAAATAAGAAGTGGTTGGCTATTGATTTTGTCTGTTTTATTTATTTTTTTAATTCAATTTTATATCCTAAAAATACAATATATACCTGAATAATTGTTTAATACATTAATATTTTTATATATCCCTTTAATATGTCTCTACACTTATAAAACCTCATAACAATGTCAACAAATTGTTCGAATTTGACACCATCTTATAACAACTGAAAAGCTGTTCAAAAACAAAACTGTCGTTATAGACAAGATGATACGGTAATCCGTATACGAGACAATGCCACATCAAACTACTGCCACATTTATCCACCATTACTACTAGAAAAGCCGCAGGACAATGTAAGGACATGATGTTGGATTTAACCAATGAAAACTGTGGCACTTCACAAAGAAGTGGAAAACTCACACACAGAAAAATACTTCACACAATCGAATATGTGTAGAGTAGTAAGCAAGCAATGCAATGATGCAGCCATGACAATCTACAATATCCGGAAAGTTCTTACATTCCAACTTAGTTACACACGTATGCCGACACAAACATAGTATAACACCTTGGATTCATAATCCGCATTTTGATTTGTCTATAAAACCCCATTGGATATACAATTTGCCCCCCGAAAATCCACACCTATTCGCATACACACGCACAAACACACCCAAAACCAATCATTTGTGGTCTAGCACGGCCAAAACTTCTAGTTATGTGTACATGTGTGTGCGGTGGTTTACGACAAATACCGAAATTTGCTGCTAACAAGGGGGGGACAGAAGTAGAGTAACTATAAGAACTTAATACTAACCTGTAAGACGGCAAAAATGACAGCAAATACAGTAACAATGAGAAGACAGGCAGCAACCGCAATTGCTGTGATAGTTGTTAAAGGTGAACCGACACGTGAGAATAAACCACTAACACCTGTTGTTCCATCCGAATCATCTAACAGGTTACCGTAGAGACCACCACTGTTACCGTAAGAACTACCAAATTGTTGTTGTTCAGCAGCAGCGGCAATGCGACGTTTGCCAGCGGGTGAGGCATTGATGCAACCACCTATGGAAAGAAATATTTGAAAAGTTAAATGTAAATGATTTAATTTGTAAATTCAAGGGATTCAAATTTGTAATAGGAGGAGGAACAAAAATTAAGTTATTAAAAAAATTATTTAATTCTTAAAAAAACTTTGCAGTTGATTGGTTTGTTCCCGAACAAAAATAGGGTAAAACTATTAAAATTTATAAAGGGAGAGACGAAATCAGTCAAATAAGAGAACATTTTTGCAGATTTTGGAACATTTTAGTCGAAGATCGGTATAAACGTAGGTCGAATTTCTAATCAACGATTTTTTTTTCATTCAAAAGTCGAAAATCGATTTTCGTTCGACTAATTGAAATTTCGTATTGAAAAAAGAAATTGCAAAGTCGTCTTTTAGTGATTGCTTTTAAAATTTCTTTATTCATATTTGATTTATTATTCCAAGAAGAGGGTGACTGAGCCAAATATGGTATACATTTGATAAACTAATACAATAAAATTGATAAAAAACAAAACTAAATTCGAAAACCGATTTTTGATTTAATTGACTAAATCGAAGTCGACTTTTTTGTTGAGAACAAAAATGAAAAAGTGTAGAAGTTGCTGCATATTTTCATCATTTGTCTATATATAATTTTTTATAACATTTTTTTTTTGCTATCATAGTTTAAGTCTTTAAAATTAATGTGCAATATTCACATTCATATACACCTCCTCTGTTTCCATACATACCTGTATCTTTGTCACAATGACAGCAGGACTGATCTTCCGGCGATGCATCGTTGGCACAACACGGTACACACTGATTGTTCAAACGATCCAAATGTAATGGGAAGGCACATGTCTGACACGAATATTGACCGGGACCTGTGCATGACCGACACGATTCATGACACGTTTTACATGTTTGTGTTGGTGAATCATAGTACTGGGAACCCAAACATTCCATACAAAGGCCACCGTCCAACATAAAGTGGGCCGGGCATGAGGTACAGGCTAATGGTCCAGCGCCTATTTGAAAGAGAAGAGAGAATAAATTAAAGTTTGAAATGAAAAAGGAAAAAATATATTTTTGAAGAAATGTAGAGAAATACAAATTTGTGACAATTCACGTTTATAATTTCAGTCATGGCCTATTAAATAAGGTCTACCGGGTGGCGAATTGATGCCTTAGTCTCTTCTTTCTGTCAACATTTTAATCGAGAAATACCAACCAAAACAGGATAAAAACTCAAAATATCTTTCATAAAATATAATGATAATAATGTGCACGTATATTTGGGTTCATGGCCTATTAAATAAGGAATACCGGGTTGGCGAGTTCATGCCTTACTTTTCTCTGAGTGTCAAGTTTTTAATCATGAAATACTAAATAGAACTGGATTAAAACTCAAAATATCTTTGAAAAAACGTAATGGTAGTAATATGCATATATATTTTGGTTAGAATAAAGGCAATTTTTGTTCATTTATTCTTCAAAAAATAAATTTGACAGTCAATGAAGACTTCGAATTCGCCTCCCTGTTAAGCTTATGAATATACTTTGTTTGGGTTTCAACAAGGTTTATTCATAAGGTTAACAGGGAAGCGAATTCATGCATCAGTCTTCTCTTGCTGTCGGGTCAATTTTTCCTTCTTCGTCTTTTGAATATTATTTAAGGAGGTTTTGACCGTATCAAGCGAGTTCAAATATATAATGCCAGTTTGGATTCATATCAGTACATTCTCCTAAGCCTGACTGCAAAATTGTAAAATGTTCTTGTTGGGGTGTTTAAGGTCAAAAAATAACACAATCGGAATATTTAGTAGGATGAAGTATAATGTCCGGATTTCTGAATTTTATGAACCCAAATCATGAAATATAAGTACAGGGTTGATATGTGCTAGAGAGGGAGAGAGGCAAGGGTAATGTAAAGTATTAGGGAATCGCATTTTACAATAACTTTTATAATGTACGGATTCCTGAATTTTATGAATGGAATTCATAAAAATATAAGTACTGGTTTTCTCTCTTTGAGGGTGAGAGGACAATGTACAGTGTTTTCCAATACGAGAAGGACAGTCGACGTAAATCTCCTTGGTCATGTGGCCACTGGTCACGTGATCTGTTGATCACGAGATCAACAGATAACACGGTCCAGAAAATTTTGCTAGCAGAGCAATGGTTTTTTTGCTAATGTGTCAATAGAGTCGTATTGTTGAAAGTTTTGCGCTGTCAATTTCTGTACCATCCAACTACGGCAATTAACAAATCATTTAACATCTTTAGTTGGTGCAATCTATACACTGTTGATTAGCTTCACATTTCCAAAATGTAATGTCGGCTTATAAAATTCACCAAACACTCACTCTTCAAGGCTTCTCCAAAATTACTCTTAGAGTTTCCGATCGCCTGATGCGACTATTTAACGTAGCCAAATATGTAGCTAGCCATGATGCTTTTTCGATGGAAAATATCATAATTTCGTATCGGAAACTTGAATTGTGTTTCGCAACGCTGACTCGACAATTTGACGTACCCAAGGTACCTAATTAGACAAGATGATTTTGCAAAGAAATTCTTATCCAGAACACGATCTAGTTGATGATCGATCGTTTTAAGTTAATGAAATAACTGAACACTTTAAACCTTAAGGGCCAATTTTTTATTAAAAATTACGACATCTCTAGACAGTGAAGATATTACCATAACTATTGATCCAACCTCATTTTTTAGGCCTAATGACCCCACCGTACCCTAAAGCGTATCAAACAGTAACACTTTGCCTCTACAAGATGCGACTTTTGACATAGCCACCCTGGTGACCAGGAGCCTCATTTGCCATAATGATTTTTATATAGTTCCGATCATTTGGGATCGTTTTTGAGCCCTTGATGCGACAATTTGACGTGACCATCGAAGTGTCAAAGGACCTCATTAGATGATGAGATGATTTTTCGATGGAAATTCGGATAATTTTCAGTAAGGGTACAACCTTGTCGATGAACGGTCAGTTTGAGTTCTGGTGTTAACTGAAGTTTTTAAGCCCCCATTCTCGATTTAAAATTTCGACGATTTTCATCCCGCTGACAAATGAGCAAAGATTATGATAAAGACTTGCATACATGCATTTGAAGTCCTAAGGAAGAAAAAATACATTTAAAAAATGTTGTTGCTGTTTTTTTGTATTTAAAGAAAAGTCTTTTTTTCGGCAGCGGGCATGATTGACGACCACTGGAACATCCAAATATCAAAATTCCAACGCAATTCGAAAAAGTATAAATCTGGCTCTGGTATGAACTAGGATCGCTTGATTAGCAAAATGGAGGACTTAGGAAAATTATTTTTTGGAGAATCGACTATTTTCGACCAAAAACCAAGCTAGAAAAAGGAAGATATTGACCGATTACATTTATCCTAGTTCATAGCTTTGTATGTCCAAAATAACGATTTAAAATTTGGAACCGATTCATAGTTTTTGAGTTATTGTACACTGTTTCGAAAAAAAAAACACATTATTATTGAGAAGATCTCCCGTTGTCACCTGTCTCTTGAACAATCGATCATATCTTCAAGATCATTAGAAATTTTCACCTCATATTTTAAAGGGACATTCTTGATAAGTTATAGTTTCAAATTAAATTAAGGGGACCCCCCATTCTCGGGGACATTTGTTTTTTTTTTTTTGATTTAATTCGAATCTACACTAATTCAAGACTGTCAGTAAAAAATTTCAAGTGAAAATCTCAAGAACTCTGGAAGATATAGCCGATTTATTGTGTCAGCATAAAGTGACGGCTAAAGCGCTTCTCAAACTTTAAACGCGTTTTTCTCTAAACATTTTTTTGCGAATGGCGGGCACGATAACTCAAAAAGTAATAACCCAATCGAACTAGGATAAAGCCAATCGGTGAAGATCTTCCTTATTTTTTAACTTGGGTTTTGGTCAAAAATCGGCGATTTTCCAAAAATATTTTTTCAAAGGTCCGCCATTTTGTTAATTTTAGAGTGAAGTCAATAATCCCAGTCCATACAAGAGCCAGACATGTACTCTTCCTAACACCGTTGGAATTTTCGGATTCCGATGTTCCAGTGAGGAGCTATCATGCCCGCCATCAAAAATAAGGACTTCTTTTTAATTACAAAAAAAAAAAAAAAAAACAATTACAATTTTTTTTTGTAAATTATTTTTCTTCTTTTTTAAATCTTCAAATATATATGTGCAAAGTTACAAACCTTAACAAGCATTTGTATTGATTTACCAGCCAATTGAAAATCTTGAAAATTTAAAATCGTGAGTGGGGGGGGGGGGGCTCCCTTAAAATAAAAACATAGATTTTTTGAAACCAAGAAAAGTGGCGGGGTCCCCTTAAGGCCTTAAGGCGTTTGAGGAATGCTGCAACAGTAATGCCCTCAATAGTTCTTTACTAAGTGTACGGGTCTTTTCTTCACATCACTTACATTACGCTCTAAATTTTGTCCACCAATTTCTATATTGCGGGTCGACCAAAACATTCTATTGTATTGCGAACTCTGACTGCAAGATTTTCACAATTTTGTATTCTCCAAAGGGCTGTTGAAGGGGATATTGTTAAATTGTTACCATACTCGTCCATATTGCAGGAGTGTGACCCTACAAAAATAGGTCCTAGACCCTATTTAGAATATAGATCGTCATATGGCGACTAACAGAATCGATGAAG